AATATCATTGTCTATCGCCATCCACAACGCCCGTACACATTACATCTACAATATGGTGTTTCGCGAAAATCGATATCATTGCATCATCCGCCACTCACATCATGTAGTGCGCCTCTTATATGTGTTCCACGCACGTCCCGCATTGCACGATTTGGCCCAAACGGTTTCGGCCTTTCATGCTCGCCCAGTGGGCGGGCCGCCCCGACGACGTCGACGAGGATGTCGGGGCTGGCGCTGCGGCCGAGGCCGCAGGCGCCGCCGCCACCCTCCTCGCCTGGCGCGTAGGCGCCGAGGAGGCGGGCGAGGAGGGCGCGGCCCCGCCCGCCGAGGGCGCGGCCCCCTCCGCCCTCGGCGCCTGGGCCTGGCGGCCAGAGGAGGAGAGCGGGGCCGAGGGCGGAGGCGAGGAGGGGGGCGGCGCCGACGGGTCCGCGGGCGGGGTCGTCGCGGCGGCTGGCGGCGCAGAGGTCGCGGTGGCTGGTGGCGCCCAGCAGCAGTGCCGCACAGCTGCTGCGTGGCGCCGTGCCGCCGCCGCCCGCGTGGCGGCCCCAGGACGCAGGCGTTCTGAAACGCCTCCTGGGTCCCCGTCCCCCTATTCAATATAGGGGGACGAGGGCGGGGCGGGGGCGCTGACGGACGGAGACCACGATGAGAATGATGGGTAGGAGGGGGGGGGGGCTAGGATGGTGGAGGAGGAGGGCCACGGCAAATTCAAGACGCATCGGCGATGCATGGGCGTGAGAGTCCCCGCCCCCAAGCCCTTTTGCGCAGCCCCCTTGCGAGCGTTTCTTGTCCCCCCTCCCCGCCCCCCCCCCTAGAATGACGAGGGCCCCGTGGGCCCGCCATTGAGGCGAGGGCCCCGCGACGGGCGGCGGGGCGCCTGCGCCCCCCTGGCCGCGAGGCGCGCCTGGACACGCGGGCAGGACGCTCGAGGAAGAGCCCAGCGAGATCCCCATTTTGAAAATAAGTTTGCGTCCGCGTGCGTAGCGGCCGCGTTAACTTAGGGCGGCGGTCGGGTCGTCTTGCGTGACTCTCGCGGGGGAGTTTCATGTCGGGAACGGGCTTAGTATCCGCGACGACCCCCCTGCCTGCGCGGGAGGGGGGTCGTCGCGGATATTGGGTGTCTGGGCGGATGAGAGCGGCGCGCCATTTGCGTTTTAAGTGTTAGGGCGGGGGGGGGGGGGAGGGGAGATGCCGCCCCCCCGTCGCAGGAGGCCCGCCCCGCGCTGGCGCCGCTCGCTGCGGGGCCTGCGACATCGACGCCATCGGCCAGGTCATCTCCGACGTTGCGCGGATGGCTGCCTCGCACCCGCACTTGCTCCTGACAGATGACAGGGCCGCCGAGACAGTCAAGATTGCAATGAACCGAGAAGTGTGCACCAGAGGGAGTTTCAAGTCCCAGGCAGCCCAGTTTGGCATCGATCGCAAAGCATTGAGAAACATGAAATGTTTGTCCTCGTGTTGTTCTATGGTGCTTCACATATTCATGGTGAAACTACTTATTTCCACTCTCGTCGGCGACGTGGTGTCCAAGAAAGGGGTGGCCGTCTGCGCTATATTCACGACTCGGTACGATGAGACGCCCATGTCAGTTATTGTCCCTGAGGCTGCAGCAGACGCCCTTCCCCCGAAAGAGTTCGAGCATTTGAGGGACATCTTGAATCATGACACCTCCTTCTGGCACGTCAGCTCGTCCCGAGATAAGGCCCCGACCAAGCTGCTCCAGGTTGAATGTGCCATCACGTTGCTGGTGCAGGTCGACAAACAGTATACGGCCTTCACCTTCGATGTCCCCCTTCCGATTTTGAACGTTGGGCGGTGCACAGCAGAGTGTTATTTCCTGGCCTGCGAGTTCGTGTTGCAGTTGGTCGGGTGGGAGGGTATATCGAGGCTGTGCACCAGGGCGTACAGGGTGAGCTGCACGGACGGCGATGGTGCCATTGGCCGCGCAGAGCGCGCTTTGCAGACATCGTTGGGCACGCCGTCGCTGCGTCTCCTTTGCTTCGCCCACAAGGGCGCGACTGTTCGGGAGCGCGCTGCGGTTCCCGTGAAGTCCGCCCACAGCTACATGACGCATGCAGTGCTGTCCCTGAGGTTTGGCAACCACCGCAAAGTATTCCGGGCTGCCGCTCGTCTCGTCATTGCGCAGCGCTTGAAGATCATATACGGCATGCCGTCCATGGAGGCGCGGACGAGGAACGCGAGGAAGCTCGACATGGTGCTCCCGAACACCCAGGAGAATGAGCCGCTGCGGGCGCTCGTGCTGACCATGTGCGGCGGGAACTGGGATGACGAGGAGGTCGTGGAGACGTTCGTTCCGCCAGGGGCGCAGCGCGAGGTGGGCGACGAACGCTGGCCGCCAACGCCGCGCGTGGCCAGGCCGACCCCGAGCCCGAGATTGGCGCTCGGCCCCCCCGCGTAGGCGGGCGGGGCACGGCGCGCGGCGAGAGGGAGGGGAAGCGCGCGAGATACGGTCTAAGGGCGAGGGGTGCGGATGGGGGGGGGGGAGCGCGCGCGCGCCAATCTTAGGCGTTGGGTCGGCCTGGCCAGGCGCGGCGGTGATGTTCGGTTTTCGTTGTCTGTGGTCTGGTCATGGCGCGATTCCTCTTCAGATTCGTCGGCGCCGTCGCGAACCGCGAGTTGCACAATTGCCCTGGCAGGGGCTGGACATGTTGGGAGAAAGGGCCGTCTTGGATTGGGCTCCTGGCGATCGTGCGCGGCCTCTTCGTTCCGATATATAGGCTCTTCTGCCAGCTACTTCAAGATAAGGCTGGTCCAGGTGGTGACGTTCGAGCCGTTCGTGCGGCGGCGCCTGTTGCCGACGGCGGCGCGCCTTTGCCTGCGATCGCTGATGACGGCGGCGCGGGCGGCGGCGGCGGCGCTGACCCTGGCGCTGGTGCAGGACATCATGCAGGTGATGCTGACGAGGCCGATGCACGCGCTGCTGCAGGAGGTGCTGGCGGCGCCGTCGCAGGTCTTGGGGGCGCACGCTACGCGTTTGCCCCGAGCGTGCCCGGCGCCGTCCCAGGTGCAGCAGCTGCGCGCGCCTTGCGGCCCGCCCGCCACGGGGCGGGCCTCAAGGCGCGCGCGCTCCGCGCACTTCCCGCGGTATGGGTGCGTCGGCGCGCGCGGGGCGGGGGCGTAGTGAGCGCCCCTCTGCCACAGGGGAGCCCGACGGCCAGGATGTCTGGGAGGCCCGCCGACAGGAGCAGAGTAAGTATCGAGAGTCGGTCTTGACATGGTGCGATAGTGGCCTCGTGTTGCAAGATTGCGTCATCATGTGTCGAGTTGCTTACATCCACGCGTCGTACATCTACGGTTTCTTGGGCCTGGTCAGCGTCAAGTGGGAACGATCCCAGAGGCGCGTGGAGCTGGATAGATCGATGGAGCCTGGCCCCCAACGTCGCCCCCCTCGGACGTACCAGCTGGAGGCGGCCTACCTTGCTAGGGAAGAGCGGGCCGTCATCGAGTCATGCCACGCCCTGATCATGGATGACGCTGCATTCGACGGTCTCCCCCTCAGAGATCGCACCCACGTGTACCAGACGATGGCGTTCCAGATGCTTGCTCGCAGTGCCTGTCGTTTTCATAGTCTTGTTGACGAGCTGAGCAACTACCCCTACAAGTTGTTCGGCACCCTTTCCAACGGCGCCCTTGCGTCGGAGATCGCAGACGACATGAAGTGCTCTAAGCGCATGGACGCGTTCTCTCGACATTTCACTGGCTGTCATGGTGGTGTGCACGCAGTCGATGCAGGCATGGAGTTGATGGCGATTGCGTTGAAAGCTCGTCGTGATCAGGTGTCGATCGAGAGGAACCATGGGGTACTTCGTCGGTTCGTTCTTGGATGGTCGCCCCAGGGGAGGGCCATCGACCTGCACGGCATGAACGCCGAGTGGATCTCCAAGGGCATTCAGATGCAAGCTTCTGGGCTGTGGCGGCAGATATTCAACGATAAGCAACATGATGCAGCCGTTGACGAAGGGGGCGATGAGGACCGAGGAGGCGCCAGTAGGGGCGCGGCGAGGAAGCGGAGGTTGTCCGAGTGGAGCGTCTTCTGCAGCGAGCAGAAGCGCGGGAAGTCCATTGCAGAGATGCCGACGTTCGCGCAGTTGAGCACCAGGTACGCGGACTTGTCCCCTGACGAGTTCGCTGCTTTGACGAGACGGGCTGCAGAGGCTAATTGTGCTGTCGATCATGGCTCGGCGGCGCCGCTGGGGCTTCGGCGCAGGCGGGCTGCTCTTCCCGATGCGGGCGCTGCCCCTGGCGCCGACGCTGGCGTCGTCGCGGTCGGCGGCTTCGCAGCCCTCGATTGGGACGGCCTCATGGCCGCGAGCAGGCTTCGGAGGCAGGAGGCGCAGAGGGCGAGGGCTGCGGAGAAGGAGGAGCTGGAGCGCCTCAGGGCTTACGACGTGGACGCGTCGGGCTGCCTAGTGGATCGCGCCATGGCCGCCATCGGCGACGGGGCCAGGCGCCACGCGCCAGACGTATCGAGCTCGCCGACTTCTACGGACTGCTTCCAGCATTTGGAGTTCAAGAACAAGAGCGTTCAGAAGATGACGGGGTCTATTTTATCGCACAGCGGTCGGCACCAGCACGCTCGGCTCCTGCGCGCGCAGCTCGACGAGGTCTGGGCCGCCGCCCACAGCACCATCCAGCACAGGCCCGTCCCCGACGTCAGCAGCAACGCTGCGAACCCGCCAACTCTGAAGACCCGCCTCTGCCACGCGGCCAACGCGTGCCTGTGCTCACCCCTCGGGAAAGCACACGTTGCCATGCGGGCCAAGCTCCACAGGATCGTGACGTCCCAGTTCCCCAAGGCTGACGGGCAGGACGCCCTGCTCGGCGCTGAGATCGTTCTCCTGGTTGTCCCAGCGCCTCGACCCGCCGCCGACGGCGGCGAGGACGTGGGCGTCGGCGCCCAGCCTGGTCCTGGTCCTCGTCCTCGCTGGTTCTTCCTGGCCGACGTCAAGCTTAGGCCGTTCACGTTGTTCATCCACGAGATGGAGGCATCCGACGAGGGGGATAGTGCTGACGCGTCGAGGCGCGCGGAGGGCAACCCAGGGCAGTTGGCATTGAGCCGCGCGCGCCTCGCCTCGCTCACAACTAACTTTACTGACTGGACGGCAGTTCGCGAGTTCAGGGCCGATATCGCGTGGGACGTGTGTTTCTTCGGAGTCGGCTACACGGGGGGGCTCGTTGGCACGATACAGGCTCGATATCTTGACGTCGTCGCGTTGGGCGGCGGCCTCGTCCATGAGTGGTGGAGCCCATCGAAAGCTAAGAAGTTGAGTGCGGGTCAGATGCTTGCTTCGTGGCGCGCTGCTGCGGAGGGCGACGACTCGGACGATGGCGAGGGGCCTGGTGAGCTCCCTCAGGATGACGATGATGACCCTGGTCATGGAGACGATGGCCCCAGCGATGGTGAGTGGTCCATGTTTGGCCCGACGCCGCCCCAGTCCGACGCTGGCATTTCAGACGACGGTGGTGGAGGTGATGAGGGTGGCGGGGGCGATGGAGATGGTGGGCACGGCGCAGGCGGCGACGGTGGCGCTGCACCTAGCGGGGACGCTCCACCTCCTCCTGATCCTGTAGCGCTGGAACCTCGGGACCGTGACGTGGTGCATTTCGACATACCTGGTTTGGGCGCCATTGTTCATTATGCGACGTCTGGGTTCTACGCGTACTGCCATGACGAGCTGCACCGCGACGACGGCGCGGGTGCCAGGCGCAAGAAGGGCCAGGCCGCCGACCCTCGTTCCAGCCATTGCTGCAGGAAGAATCGCATTGGTATCAAGTGCAAGCGTACAGCGCGGGGGACTGGTCGACCCCTGGGCTTCTTGGTATGTTGGTTAAGGGAGCACGGCTCCTGGGCAACTGCGGATGAGCACAAGTTGATGTTCGGGTGCTCGCTGGGAGATCGGCGCGCTGCCAGGGACTGGTTGAAGACCCTCCCTGGCTCGCACGTGCTGTTCGAGTGCGAGCGCGAGAAGCTCCCAGGTGAGGACTCCGAGCGCGAGCTATTTCAATAGGGGTGCGCGCCGAGAGGCGGATGGCTGCATGTAGCGGCGTCTTTCGGTGCAACAACTTTCCCGCCACAGCGTCATTCTGGCACCGCGTGCGCAGCGCGTCGCGCGCAGTATGTCCCATGCGTGATGCACGTGATGCGCGCCCCAGCTTGTGTGCCAGAGGCTCGCCCCGTGCGCGCAGCTAGCCAGCGCTGCATCGGTCGGTCCCGCAGTGGGTTTGCACCATGGGGTTCCTCGCCCACTCCTTCCCCCTCGCCGTCGGGGCCCTCGTGCCCGTCGCCTCCTCGGGTCCTCGGGCCCTCTGCGGCGATGCCGTGCCCATCTGTATCTTCTCGCGTTCGCTTCGGGGATCCAGGCTCCAGGCGCAGAACGAGAGGGCTGGCCCAGGGCGCGCATGCCAATGCCAATGAAAACCGCGAGGCACAGGATGCCCAATTAAACGACAGTTTCAACACTGCGTTTAGACTGTAGGTTTCAGGGGTTTGGGGGATCCTTTATTATTCTCGGGTGGTCGGCATCGGTTCAGGGGTTCCTCAAGCGCCGTGTTCCAGTAGGGGCGCGCGCGGGCGTGCTGGTGGGAGGGGCTGGGGGATAACACGCGCGTGGTCACACGGGGGCGGGGAGGGGGAGGGGCAGTGACCCCAGGTCCAGCATGTGGCACCAGGGCAAGGGCGCTCAGCCGATAGCGTTTCGCACGCCGTGCACACTCCGACCCAGGGCGCGCACGTGTATATGCGCCCCAAGTGTATCGGGTCAAGATTGTTGCAGCCATCCGCCATCTCTGACATCGAACGTTCCATCCACGTGGGCTTCGCGGCGCTGCCGCTCATCGGGGCCCGACGGTCGGCGTCGGCGGCGTCTCGGTCGACGCCCAGCTCGACGGCCAGGCCGACTGCCAGCTGGGCGCGGCCATGTCCCCGCCGACGGGCCATGACAGCTTGTACAGCCGCAGGGGTGGCCGTCGACCCAGCAGCCGCAGCCGCAGCCGCAGCAGGGGTCGACCCATGGACCCCGTGACCGAGATGACTGTTCAGGCTCCCTGCCCCGCGAGCCCCTCGCCATCTCGTCCGCTTTAGCAGTTTCTTACCTAGGTGGTTTCAAACTCGCCCCCTCCCCCCTCCCCCTTCCACCACCCCTCATCCTTTCATCGCCGCCCGCCCCCCATCCGCCCGAGTTCGCCATGCCCTCCATGCGGCGTGGACTATGCCCCTAATCTACGTGTCTCTCCTCTCCCCCTGCTTGCCGCGGGGCCTTGCCCGCCTCCGCTGCAGCTGTGCGCACCCTGCCCGCTCTTCCCATGTATGTGCCATCCCCTTGCGACCGTGTCGCCGCTCGCACCGCCGTCGGCCCCGTCCTCCGCCCCCCGAGGCCTCCTGCTTCGCACTCCCCCCGCGGGCGCCCAATGCCCGCGCGCCCATGCCCGCCCTCCCCAGTCATCCCGCAGGCTCTGCGGGCCAGGGTCCGCAACCTCGAGGAGCGGCTCCTCGCCCTGGGGGCCGCGTTCGTGCGCGCCGTGGTCCAGGCTGGCGCCGCGGATGGGCCGAGCCGCCCAGTGCTCCCGCTCGCCGAGGGGGTCGGCCCCGATCAGAGCGAGGGCGGGGGCGTGGGCGGGTCGTCGGATGCAAGCTGACCGCCTTCCTTGACGTCGGGCATCGGCGCGCTGCCTCGCTCGCCCTTGCACCGACTCCTGACTGTTCCCAGGGGCTGTGGGATCGCCCGCCCCGTCTATCGAAATTGCGTGCAGCCCCCCTCCCTGCCCCAGCCGCCCTCGCCCCTCGCCCTCGATGTAATATCATTCCCCGCCTCCGCCTCGCCCTCGCACTGCCAGCCTCGGCCCGCATGGGTGCTATGTACCGTCCAGGGGGGTCGCGCGGCGACGGGCGTCGCCGTCGGCCGAGCAGCCGACTCAGGGCCCCCCCCAGCGCCTCGGGGGGGGATGGGGATGCAGAGTTTGGAGTGGCCACCGTTGGACTGTGTGGGGGTCTCGGTCTCGCCACCATAGGTCCTGGGTCCTGGCATCAAGGCAGGCGCATCTAGACTTTCAGCGCCTTCGTGGCCTGGAGGCGGGGGCACGCGTGCTGTCGGGGGTTGGTGGCGTTGGCCGTGGCACCTGCGTGGCGCCCTCGCGGCGCTGCCGCGGCGCGCGGCGACCCGACCAGCGGCGCCATCTTGGCCCGCGGTGCGTTTAGATTTGGTTGCCCGTGGCGCACTCGGGTTCCCTTGGGCCCATGTGTTTCTCAAGGGGTCGGGCGTCGGGGTCGGGGGAAGGGGGCGGGGGCATTGCGGCTTGCGCGCTGGATTTGGGCCGCCTCTCGTCGCCGACTCGCGATCGCGAGGCGGGCGCCCGAGCTTTGCGTTCGAGTCGGCCGTGTTCGACCCCCGCCCCCTGGGGGTCGTTGCTGCAGCCGTCGCCATCGTTCTAGCGGCCGCCAGTGCCGCCGCCGCTACGCAGCTGCTGCCGCGGCCGCCGACGCCCGACGCCGCCGCCGCAAGCGCCCAGCCAGGCCCGCAGCCATGCGGGCAATGCAAACTGCAGTCGGCGTTGTCGAGCCCAGTTCAGCCGTGGCGTTGAGGGGGGCTTTCGGGCGGCGGTCGGACCATTGCCAATCGGGGGGCAGACCAGCCGTGGTCGGAGTTCTCGTCGGGCTGCAGACGCCACCGCTGGGTCACCGATGGCAGGCGGGCCGATTGATGTGCCGAGCGTTTCGGGGCCTTTGCTGAGCTTAAGTCGGGGGGTGGTACCGCTTTCTCTGAAGCTCCCGTCGATGAGTGCGGGCGCCGCATCTCGGCCGTGCAGCACCGCTGCGCAACGCATTTCGGTGCCCTCGTCGAGCGGGGGGGGATGCGTGCCCTGGCTTGGATTCAGAAGCCCGCGCCTGAGAGTCCGCTGTCCCACCCCAGAGCGTGCCGCCGCCATTGAAACCACCCGCAGCGGGGCCACGTTTCCTGAGCCCCGATCCCCAAACTTGCTTGCCTGACCCATGGGGTGACGTTTGGGACCTGTGCTCTGGCACCAACCAGTGTTCTAGATCACTCCATATGTAAACTTGGAGGCGTAGTAGAATGGGGTATGCGATGGGGTACGCGGTAGCACATGGGGTACATTGTTCTTATGCATTCAGGTATAAGTTGGGGTATGTACTAGAGCTTAAGGTTGGCAAGCACATAGTCAAGTGCACATTGTAGTATGCATCAGCATTCGAACATGTACCAGACATCGGCGACCATGCGACACTACGCACGCTTAACCTGCCTCAGCGGCAACGCGGGCCACGCCAGCCGCGGGCAGCAATTGCGCGGCATTGCTCAGTGAGCACGGCACCGCGTGAAGGACGGCACCAGAGGGCGCAGGTTGATCATTTGCCTTTCTAAATGCACGGCATACCCGCACATGTTTAAAGTCAATCGCCACCCGCGTCCGTATTCACCCACCGTTCGCAATTGGCCGTTGCAAGCAATTGTGCGCCGTGCGCTCTAATTTGTTTGGGTTGTTTTGGTCCGCGGGGAACCGTCCGACATGCACCTGCGGTGTTTGGGGTTTTCTGTATTGCTGGGCGTCAGTGTTCGCATGCGCGTCTATGGTCACCCCCACTCGTCGGTTTCTTTGTTGATGCGCGCGCGCGCGTTGACAATTGCCACTTCGCTCTACTGCGCGGCGGGCTCGCGCCGTTCATGCCCTACTTGGGTTTGAAGGAGTTGAGGCGCGCGCGCCGATCGTGGACTCCTTGCGGCGGGGAAAGCCGCGATGCGCGCCCATCCGCGCGTTGGCGGGTGCCGACGCCGTGGCGCTACATGAGGTTCGCCCTTGTTGGCGGCCGCAAGGTACGACGCAAGCCGATGGGGCGATCCATTCTGGGCGTCGGGGTTGTGGCGCACGCTTGCCACGCTACGGCCTGCCCTAACCGTTCTTCGGCCCGCTGGGCAGCAAGGACCCAAAGGGCAAACGGCACTCGTGCGCGCTTGGCGTTTGGAGTTCGGCATTCCTTTGCCAGTCGCCTTCTACGTGCGAAGGCCACTGGCTGGCTCTCTGTGCACTCCCATCGCATTCGCCGCGCGCGCCCATGCGTGCCCTGCGCGCGCTGCTTGCCCCCTCATTAGCCATCGGGATTTGCAGGTCCAGTTCGCATTCGCCCCGCCCCCGCCCCCATCTCCCTCGACATAGGAGCGCGCGACGCTGACTTGCCGCGCGCTGCGCAAGCGGTCGCCGCGGGCCCAGGGCTCGCCGACGTGCTTCCGCTTCCTGAACACCAAGGGCGTTGCGTGCATTCGCGGCGAGTTCCTTCCATGTGCGCTGAGAGCGCAGCGCGCAGTGGACACGCGTTGCATGTGCGCGCATCGGGTGCGCGACGCGCGCCGCCCGCGCGCTTGCTGCGCGCGGCGAGGGCAGCGCGACCGCGCGCGCCACGCAGTCGACGCATATGTGGGCGCGGCGGGCAGCTCGCGCCGCGCAGGCACCACGCGCGCTCCCGTGGCGGTCGCGCTAATCACGGCGTCTTCGCGCCGTTGGTGCCACCAGCGCGAGGCATCGGATATGCGTTGAATAAGCAGGCGGTGCGACGGTCAAGCATCGGCGCGGCGAAGCGCAGTCTCCTGCCTGGCTGGGGTATTCGGCTATTGACGCGCGGGCGACTGGCCTTCGGGCTGCGAGGGCCGCGCCCTGGCGCCTGCGCTTCAAGTCCGAAGCGCGGGGCCCGCGCACCTCGGCGCGCTTAATGCTGCGGCCCCAAGACCCGCCGCCGCCGCGAGCTTCGCCATCAATGCGCGGGGGGGCCACCCAGGCAGCGCGAACCGCCATGGCTGCCCCCCCACCCCCCCCCGCACGCATGCGCGCGCGCTCCTTCATGGCAGCGCCAGCGCGGGGCGCGTCGGTCTCTTGAGGGCCACTGGTCAGGCGCGCCATGGGTTGCTGCGTAGTCGGCTTGTTGTGCCGAAGTTTGCGGCTGCGTCGGCCTGCCACCCGCGCGAAGCGCG